ATATTTTTAATATGTTGGTGTCTATTGAAGAGGCTTTATCTTTGATTGAAACCAAAGAAAATACTCATAGTGATAAACAACTGCCCGAATCCAATGTTAATTTACCTAAGATAAATTTACCCATTTTCAATGGTGATTCAGCCAATTGGCTTAGTTTTAGAGAAATATTTAACTCCACCATTAATTCAAATCAAACACTAACTGAAATACAAAAATTTCAATATCTAAATGCATCTGTTAAGGGTCCTGCGGAAAAGTTGATTCGGGGTTTTCCCATTTCTGACAAAAACTACCAGCAAGCATGGGATACCTTATGCAATAGATTTAATAACAGAAGAGAATTGGCTTTTTCACAAATCAACAAAATATTCTCCATAAGGCCATTAAAATCTATTTCGGCTGGTTCTCTCTATGAAATCCTTGATGTTTGCAATGAAGGCATTAGAAATCTCTCAGTGCTAGGACTTGAGAAAAACACATTAACAGATCTAATTCTGATCAATTTTTTTGAAAAAAGAATTGGTGAAGCCCTCAAGAAAGAATGGGAATTAACCCTTCAAAATGAAGAATATCCAACATTTGAAAACTTTGTGAATTTTTTAGAAAAACATGCTAGAAGCCTGCAAGGTATGAGAATTCCTTTGTTCCAGGAACAAAAAACCTCTAGCAAAAATATGATGGCTCATGGCCTTTATGTCAACAAAGGTCAAAATTGTATTTTATGTCATCAAATTCATAAACTAAATGACTGCCAGAGATTCATAAATCTTTCCTTGCCTAAAAAATGGGAATTAGTTAAAAAACATAAACTTTGTCAAAATTGCCTTAGAGCAATGAGATATCCAAATGTCGAAGATCATGAGATATCCAAATGTCTCATCACATCAAGATGTAAAAACTGCAAGCAGAACCATCATACTCTTCTGCATGAATACAACTCTGAACCATCCATTCCACAACCAACAACCTCTCAAGAGATGTTGATTTCAACAAATACCATCTGTAATGCGATGCCTTTGAAAACGGAAACAAATATTCTACTGTCAACAGCCCTTATTAAAGTCAAGGCGAAGGATGGCTCATTTGTGCTATGTAGAGCATTAGTGGACAATGGGTCCCAAATAAGCCTAATTTCAGAACAATGTTGCCACAAGTTGGGACTTGAAAAAAGGAAAAATTCTTATACACTAAAAGGTGTAGGTGACATTGTTGTCAACAGGACAACATCGCAGGTTGAAATAGAGTTCACCCCACATCATAATGATCAATTATTTTCTGCCAGAGCATTTGTGGTTGGGAGGGTAACAGCAGACCTTCCAAACTTCCAAATTCAGTCAGCAGACTTTCCTCATTTAGAAAATTCGCTCTTGGCAGACCCAGAATTCTATGTCACCAAGCCCATAGACCTAATTTTGGGTGCAGATACCTTTGTAGAAATAATTCTAGGTCATAAAACAGATTTAAAGCACCATCCTATAGCACTTAATACCAAGTTAGGTTGGCTTGTTTCTGGGAGAATCCATTCAACTATTAAGTCGAATACTTCGGTAATCAATCACTGTACCACTGAACTTGATTCCAGCATAAGAAAATTCTGGGAACTTGAAGATGTCCCAATTTCTAAGGCCCAGTTGGGTACAAAGAATGCCTGTGAGATATTATTCAAGTCAAACCTCAAAAAAGACATTGAGGGCAGATATTCAGTCAATCTCCCTTTTAAATCAACACCCAATTTAGGTGATTCAAGATCTCAAGCATTGGAAAAAGGGCTACAGGAAAATCCAAGTAAATCTGAAGATAATTCAAGTAAATCTGAAGAAAATCTAAGTAGATCCGAAGATAATCCAAGTAAATCTGAAGAAATTCCAAGTAAATCTAAAAAGTCACGTATCTCCAAGTTAACTCCACAAATTACTTCTAAACAAAACCAATTACTTCCTTCTGAATCAAGTCAACCATCCACTCCAGAACAACCTCTCGCTTCTCAGTCAAGTGAACCACTCTCATCTAAGAAAGAAACTTCGATTATTCCTAAGATAAAGCCACCACCCTATTATAGGCGAAAACGTCAACTTCCTGCTGAGAAAACTTCATGGGATGAACCAATTGAATCAGATATAAAGTCAAATTGGAATAAATTCCAAACTCAACTATCGTGCTTAAAGGAAATCAAAATACCAAGATACCTGAACAGTTCATCTTCTGAAATAGAAGAATTACAACTACATGGATTTTGTGATGCATCCCTTAATGCTTATTCAGCAGTTTTTTACTTGAAAACTAGATTCAAAAATCAAAAGATCAAAATCAATCTGATAACCTCAAAAACTAAGGTTGCACCATTAAAGACCATTACAATTCCAAGACTTGAACTAAGTGCAGCATTGCTTTTGGCTCAACTGAATCAAGTCATTCTTGAATCATTTCCTTTTCAACCTGACAAAACCTTTTTGTGGACTGATTCACAAATCTGCATAGATTGGATAAGATCAGATGCCAGCAGATGGAAAGCCTTTGTTTCGAACAGAGTGTCGTCAATTCAAAATTTGACTCAAATCACTGATTGGTTCCATGTATCCAGTCAAGATAATCCAGCTGATTGCGCATCAAGAGGAATCATGCCTCAAGACTTGGTCAATCATAGAATTTGGTGGCGGGGTCCTATTTGGCTTCAAGAAAATAATGTTCGATATATTCCTTCTTCACCAACCCAAGTAAACCTCAATATCATTCAAGAAGAAGTCGGTGAAGGTCAAGTGTTGGATCAAACAACCTTAATTCAAATTTCAGAAACTATGTTAAATCTAGAATTCATTGTAAGGTATTCCACAATGACCAAATTGATCCGAATAACAGCTTGGTGTTGGAGATTCTACTACAATTGCCTCCTCTTTGATCCAATTCTTCAGAAAGGACCTTTGACAACAAGAGAATTAACAAAGGCAATTCAAGTCTTAGTCAAATCAATCCAGCAAGTTGAATTCTGCACGGAAATAAAATTACTCAAGTCAAACAAGCAACTACCTCTGTCCAACAAGCTAACTTCTCTAAATCCCTTCTTAGACACTCAAGGACTTCTAAGAGTTGGAGGTAGACTCAAGTATTCCTATTTAAATGAAAATCAAAAATTCCCTCTCTTACAACCAAAATCCCCACGCCAGGAATCACTTATCAAAAATCTCTTAACTGAGAATGCCGACATTCCTGAGGCTATTGATGAGAATCAAGAAGATTCTTCAATTTTAGAAACCACTTTTGTCATTGAAGACGAAGAGTCTAACAAAGATATCGGGACTCCAAGGATTGAAATCTCCGAAGTTTCGGTTATTGATAAATCGGAAGGCAAATATTCGAAAGAACCAGTGGTCAGTGCAGAAGCTCTGGATAAGAAAGAACTGTGCCATGATGACTCAGCTCACCTCAATGTAGTTGAAGCTGATCTTAATCGACCTAAAGAGGCTACCAGTGGCATAATCAATGTTTATACAGAAGCTAATGAATCGTCAAGCAAAGAGAAAGTTGTACCTGTTGAAATTGTGGATACATCAACAAAGGATTATCTACAGAGCGGTGAAAAGGCAAAATTATCCCGCTGGAAGCCCATCGATTCTCTATGCTTAGAAGACGTCAAGGAATCTGAAGACGACGATGAAAATTACAGTTCATCGGCATATATAGAATGGCCAGAAATCTTGAAGAAAGAAGTCTTAAGACCCGAAGCTTTAGAAAAGGCAGTCAATCTGGAAGATTTTGAGAAGGCGGCAGAAAGTCGACAACTCTCCAAAGAACATTTAGAGGAATCGACCGAACAAGGCTCATGCATAAAGGCTGAATCAAAACCTTGGGAAGATCCTATTGAATCCGACTTAGCAGCCGCAGAGAGTTTGATAATCCAGCAGTTCCCGAAAGAGAACTGGCCAACGAATCTGAAAATCTCATCCAAGATTCACCTCAATCGGATACTCAAAGATGGAAGCTGATTCCATTACCTTTCAAACAATGAGAATTGTAATCTTAGCTACATAGTCGGAATCAATTAGTCCAGCATCTATACTATTGGAGCTCTTTTTTATTTTTATTTATTTTTTTTATTTTTTATTTTCTGGTCATCTCTTCCCAGCCGGGGGAGTATGTTGGATCCTATAGTTAATAATTTCCTTAAATTCAATTTTATATATGAAAATTAAGCCAAAATATTCTAAATTCAATTGTACAATATAAATCTTTAATATGTAAATTTCTAGTTTGGTTATTTAATAGTTTTTTTGTTTTCTCTCTCTCTCTACCACTAGTATCAAAATCTAAGTCAAATTCATGTATCCTAAAATCATATGTGGTAGCTACTCCTAACTCTAAAACCGAAAGACAATAAAATAATTCAAGACAAGTGGCAAAGTGCTTCTTAGTATTTTTTACTGAACATTCAAGCCACGAACAGCTCGCAAGCAGCGCCTCTAGCGGTGAAGATGGGAGGTAATATCAGCTGACCTAATGGACATGTAAAACATGTTTTAACAGGACATAGAGAAAAATCTGGAAAATATATTTTTCGGATTTTTAGTCAAGAAAAATAAATTGACAGGTTCTGGGAAAAAAGTAATGTTTTTTATTCAGAAAATGATGATGACAATATTGCTGTATCATATTTGATTATAAGATACAAAATTATATCCGGAAAAATTCCAAAAAGCAGAGACCACGGGTGAAGCCAGTTCATTTTTAGTATGCAGGAACAAAATTCTAACAGAAAAACATTCATTCGAGCAGAAGACACAAAGCCAGATCATCTGTGTATAAAAATATCGCTTCTCAGACACAAATTTGGAGCGGGACGTTTCACAAGAATGACATCCACGGCGCCAATTTATAATTGTAACGAATAGTATTTGAATAAAAGCATTTAATCGGGTAAAACCCGGGCATTGCCCTTTTTTAATCAATTCTGTCACCGTTTGCTTTTGTGAATGGAATAAATACCAAAATATGGCCATTTCTCATAACCATCGGTGGTTCAGTGGTAGAATGCTCGCCTGCCACGCGCGGGTCGGGTTCTATTCCCGGCCGATGCATTTTTTTTTTACAATTTTTAAAACTCATTTATATACAGGGTGTACCAGGTAAATTGGGACTAACTTTGACAGTCCATAAAACAAAAACAACTTGAGATTAAAGACTTGTTTTTTTTTCATTACGTAGCCATATTAATGTAAAATGCAACAGTACATGTGTGCGCAGTGTAGTGATGAAGAGTAACCGAGAATTTGAAAATCGAGCTGCCATCATCGTTGCTCTGCGCGCCGGAAGGAGCCCCAAAGAGATAGTGGATTTTCTTAAGTTGCCCAAAACCACTATTTATCGTGTCAAGAAGCAGTTTGATGAGGCCGACAGTAACAATGAGGGGATAGCTACAAGGAAAAAGCACTCGCGTCGATCGGACAGTGTAAGAGGCGAAGAATTTGTCAAAAATGTCAAGGAGAAGATTGATGGAAACCCTGGGAAGAGCATGAGGGCCATAGCCAAGGAAATGGACGTTCGCTCTATGACAATTGTCAGAACTATCCATGAGGACCTTGGTCTCAAGTCTTATGCCCTTCGGAAAGGTCAGTTGCTGACTGAGAATATGAAGAATAACAGAAAAGGAAAGGCTACTGCCCTCCTCAACAACCTGAAACACGACTCTTTTGGCATGCTAAGGTTCTTCTCTGACGAAAAGAACTTTGACGTGGACCAAAAGGTAAATCCCAGGAATGATCGCTGGATCTGTAAAGTCCCCTCAGAGATACCTGTCGTGATGCACACGAAATTTCCTGCCTCCGTAATGGTCCTTGGCGTTATCAGCAGTGAAAGTGATGTCATGCCTCCCCATTTCTTTGAGAAGGGCCTTAGGATGAACGCTGACACCTACATCAATGTTCTGGAGACCGTTGTGAAGCCTTGGATGGACATGGTGGCCGCAGGAAGGAAGTATGTCTTCCAACAGGACTCAGCTCCAGCCCATAAGGCAAAAAAGACACAATCGTGGCTGACACTTAACGTCCCTAGTCACTGGGGTCCTGATATTTGGCCCCCTAATTCTCCAAATTGCAATCCCCTCGACTACTATGTATGGGGCGTTGTTGAGAGAGATGTCAACAAAGCTCCTCATACCACCATCCAGTCTGTCAAGAAAGCAGTTCACACGGTGATGACCCAAATGGACAAGGTCATCGAAGCCAAGGCCTGTGCTTCATTCCGCACTCGTCTCGAAACTGTTGTAGCTAATAATGGAAACTACATTGAATAAATAAAAACTATATCCTTTTATCTACTACTGTGTCAAATTTCATTCGGATATTTTAATTTTTACTTGCAAAAAATTTCAGTTAAAATACCATTGTTGAAATTCCCAATTTACCTGGTACACCCTGTATTATACAAGAATGACATCCACGGCGCCAATTTATAATTGTAACAAATAGTATTTGAATAAAAGCATTTAATCGGGTAAACCCCGGGCGTTGCCCGGGTCATTCAGCTAGTATATATATATATATATATATATAACAATAAATAGTTATTTAATTTTATAGTCCAGTTTTGTATTAAGATTATCTTCACTATTATGATCATTTAAATACAAATTATAAAATTTGTAAAATGTTATTAATTTGTAGATAGAGAGAGAAAAAAAAAAAAAAATCCTTTACTTCTATTACATCCTCAAGTTAATTATATATTTATAATTAATAACAATAAAAAAAATTAACAAAGTAACGTCTATTACATCGGCTTTTACACGTCATTCAGACATACTCTAATCCTATATATAGAATAATCGAAGAGATAATATATATAATAGTTAGAAAAAAGAGAGAAAGACAGAACCATGCACTTTTAATCAAACTAATAATAAGGAAAAAAAAAAAAAAAAAAAAAAGAGTTTTATAAAGAAGGTAGATAAGATTGTTAGTATATATATATATATTTTTTTATGATTTTATATTTTATCCTTTTTTTTTTTTTAAAAAGATTTTTAAAGGTTTTTTTATTTTATAATATGATTATAAATAGTTGTATTTAGTAATATATCTATAGTATGAATTAACATTTGTTATAAGTTTGGATATTATGTTTTGAAACCCTAATGGTAGACCAGACATACACAAAAAACTTTAAATTGAAATAAATTGGAAAAAGAGATCTGCTGGAACGGGGATCATCAGATAAAATTCCAGCGACATTTCAACCCCTTCTTTATTATGTCATAGATCTCTTTTAAACCGGATTTTATGTGTTAATATTAAGTTGTTTCAGTGAAATATTTAAATGAACATATATAGTAGATACAAATGTTAACAAATTCAAACTGTAAACCTACCTCTGCCGTGGAGTCCTTCATTGTGAATATCTATTTCTGGCTAACACATGTCGCGGGAGGGGAATGTCCCCCCACATTTCAAATTTAGACCATTTATTCAGAATTCCTTTGAACAACAAGAAAATTAAAGAAGAAAGGAAAAATAGTTAAGGGAAGAAAGCTAAATTTCATAATCTTTACAGCTAGTTATATCAAAATAACTGATTTAACACTTATTCATCTTTTAATATTCCTTTAAAAAGGCAAATTATAATAGTTTAATAAAGCTATTAATTGTGTAAATTCAACTTTATTTAACTTCCATTTTCCTCCCCAGAAATTGGAGATTAAACAAAAATGAACTATATACTTTAACACTTTAAAAATCTTGTGAAAAAATCTTTTAATCAGTTATTTAATCAAAGTTTAATTAACTGTTAAAGATTATAAATTTGTATTAGTTAATATTAATAGAAATTATAGAAAGTTGAATTCATAAATGGATATTTCCATTTATTTTTTTTTAAATATTTTATAATTGATATACTGTTGAAATATTTTACTTGTTTGATACTAAATTTGTTTTTAATAAATTCCATGTTTAAATTTTTAACATCTTCTATGAAATTATCTAATATATTATTTATTCTATAAAATCTTAGAAACTGACCATAATATATACCTTTACAGCAATTTAATGATATATTAGAATTCATATTACAGTATTTTATAATATTGAAATTATAATTACTCTTTTTGTTATAAACTCTAACAGCACTATTTGTAAGGTCTATATTCAAGTCTAAAAAGTTAACTTTTTTGTTTCTATAAATTTTTTCATTGTTCTTAAGTTTCAAGTATTTAGGATATATTTCAGGTATTAATTTTTTAAACAGTGGATTATTAAATATTATTATGTCATCTACATATCGGAATATTTGCCAATTAATATTATTTTGTAGAAAGTATTCTCTTTCGTGCCAGAACAATATTAAATTTGCTAATAACGGACTAGAAGAGGTACCCATGGGAACGCCTTCTGATTGAATATATATTTTATTTTTAAATTCTATATAGTTAAAATTTAAAAATGTTTCCAGTAGAGTTTTTGCTGTTTTAAGATCTAATTTAAATGTTTTATATCTGTTATGAATAATTTTAATGTAGAAAGTTTTGTCATTAATGAATTCATTAAATAAATTGGTTATTTTATTATTTAGATCTCTTAAATTTATTTTAGAATATAGGTCCTCAAAGTCAAATGTGTGTACTGTTTCAATGTTTGTCCAATTGTTCATTAAATAATTAATGATTTTTTTTATTTGAGTCGATAAATTTATAATTATATTTATTAGTTAATTTATTTATAATAAATTGTAGTGTTGAGGCTAATTGTATATCAATATTTTTTATGACTGAATTTATACCAGATGTGATTGTTCTGAAAGAAATAGGTTTTTTGTGTAGTTTAGGAATTATATAGAACTTTGGTATGTTTGGATTTTTGTGGTTATTATAAATTTTTAGTGAATTTTCAACATTTTTGATGTCTTTTTTGATTTTTGTGCCTGTAGTTCTAGCAAAAGTGTATTTATGATTATTATCAATTTCCTTTTTTAGTATATCGTGGTATAGATTTTTACAAATTAAAGATAAATTATTGGAACATTTATCTATAGGAGTGATAATATAGTCCTTCTGTAAATTAATTATATTTTCTTTAAAAGAAGGAATGTCTGAATTGGGTTTTGTGTATTTAAGTGTATTATTATAATAATTTATAATTTCCTTTTTAATATTATGTTTCCATTCCAGAAAAGTAAATTCTGGAATACTGTATCTTATACTAGTTTTATTTATGAAAATATCTATATCTTTTAATATAGATTTAATTGTATTATTATAATTGTGTTTAATTTGAGGTATATATTTATACCCTTTATTTAAAATTTCTTGATATTCTGGATTTAAAAAAGAAAAGTTGCTAGTTAATATATGACCTGAGAACTTATATTTATCAATATAGTTGTTGCAATTACATTTAATTTTTTTAAAATTTGCCAAATTATTAATAAATTGGTTATAATTGCAAACTAAATTACCTATATTTTTATTGTATCTCCAGATTGTTTTAAAATTTAAATTTTTTATAGGGAAAAGATTATTGATGATTTGGTTATTAAAAATATCATTAAATTTAATATGATTAAATAAATTGTTATTAAATTTAATGATAATATTAATGTTATTAGTATTTTGTTTAATTTTTCTGTATTTAAAGATGTCGTGTGTGATATCTATTAATCTGTTAGTCAGATTATGAATTTTAATATATTCTATGAGTTTGATAAATTTATTATTATTTAGTTTAAATAATGTTTTAATAAATTTATCGACGAAGTTGTTAGTGTACATTTGTTTTGGGTCCAGTAATTCTTCAAATTCAATGTAACCTAATTTATTTGTAGTTTTACCTCTAGTTTTATTAGGTTTAGTTTTAAATTCATTTTTATATTTGCAACTGATTTCATAAGTTGAAATTTCTTCTGTTTGTGGTTTGTATGTGTAGTTTAATTCGTCGTTAAGTCCATAAGGGAATAATGTGTTGTGTTTATAAATGTAGTTGTTTTCTAATAATAGTCGTTGTTTTTTGTTTTGACATATGTCTAGTATTTCTATCTTAAAGTTGTTAAAAGTATGTAATTGATTGTGTTCTTTCATATATATATTACC